AGAGAGAGAGAGAGAGAGAGAGGGAGAGAGAGAGAGAGGGAGAGAGAGAGAGAGAGAGGTCGTTGTGTGGGACGTGGGAGGTGTGGGGGTGAAAGCGAATTGGACTCAGTACGCACGTGGGATAGAGAGGCATGTCGGGTGTGGAGTAGACCATGCTAGTTTGGAGAAGGGGTAGTGTGAGTGTGGAGTGAACAATTGAGGCACGGGCAGCACAACGCGGCTCACCTTGATTCCTAGCCCCAAGGCCGAAATAAGAGCCTGCAGCTCGTTGTTCTGGTAGATTCTCTCAGAGGCGCACTTTTCGATGTTGAGAATCTTGCCACGAAGAGGAAGGATCGCCTGATCAAGTTCATATCGATGTTGACCTCGTTGGTGGCGGTGGTGTTGATGATATGGTTGCTGTTGTCATTGGTGTTGGTCGTTGATTATGATGATGTGCCCGTTGATGTGGTTGGTTATGGGCAGTTGTTTGGTTGTTGTTATGGTGAAAATTGTTGGCAGGACTCGCATTCAAGGCACACAGGGAAACGAGACCAGAGCCAGGGGCAAGATCATTATATCCCTCAGCACAGATTGGAGGACAGTAACCAACACCAAGCCTCCCCACACCGAAACAACACCTGCGTCCGGCGATCCCGCCCCTGCTTAGCGCTGCCCGCCGCGGAGTCTCCCTCCACGATATAAATCTCGCTCTCCACAGGATCTCGAGAAGCACAGTCTGCGAGCTTCCCCTGCAAACGGCGGTCGAGACGGGACGAGGCAAGGGACAACACCGGTGGCGGCAACACACAACAGCACGGGACCGGAATAAGCCGAGGTGCCCTGTGCTCTGCTATGCCGCATCTGCTTTCTTCCGTAGCGCTGCGAGAGGGGGAGACCTTGCGGGTGAGACCAGGGGACAGCCTCGTCTATCCCCGGGTTTTCACTTTTCTTTTCTCTTTCGCAAAGGCTAATTCTGAAACGGCACCGTCACGCGCACACAACGTGAGGTTGTCGGCACTATGTAGTTATGAACACCACACCGACCACGCGAGCCGAGCCCAAATGTGCACCACGAGCAGATTCGGGTGAGCAAACAATTTTACGGAGTACTCACGGGACTTAGTTTTCATATGACGCCACCATTATATATGATGGGCAATGCAACTTCTAAACTATCATCGAATCAGGCCGTCGAGAATGTTTCGAGCTGCCAACAACAACAACAACAACGATGCCCGATCTCTTACCGGCAGCACGGTGCTCGTTAGCAAAGACTTGCGTCGGACCATATCTCTCGCCGCCTTTGCAGCGGCGGCTGCAGCCTGCGCCGACGAGGCCTTATCCAAGATCGCACCAAGGATCTGTGAAAAAAGAAAAAAGAGCACGAAAGACATTACCAAAAACGGCCCCGAAACGACAAAACGCGGCACTAAAGGCAGGTGTCGCGAGAAAGCGATCGGAACCTACAAATATCAAACAACAAACATGTCAAACAATTACACGCGACAATAAAAAACAACGTACGTTGTATGCGTGAGAGAGAAAAATAGTGTCCTCGGCGGACAAGGATTGTCCTAGATCGCTACAACCCCCCCCCGAGAGGATCAAGACCAATCAGCTTATGGCACGTTACTGATGGACAAACCCACCGGTGCTAATACTTGTGTATCACTCCTATCTTGGCGTACAGTCAGTCCAAGACTGTCCACTAACAGCTTAAGCTACCTGATTCGTCATCGAACAATATCAGGATTATTCGCTACCTTGGGGTGCCACTCGAACAACTTGACCAGCTCCTCGCCAACGATTGAATCGACGATGCCCCTGACTTCCGGGTTGCCTAGCCTGTTCTTCGTCTGCCCTTCAAACTCCGGCTCCGGCACCTTCACGCTAACCACCGCAGTCAGGCCCTGCCAGCCGAACGCGTTCATGTTTTCATCAGGCGCTTGGAAGTAGCAACGACTCAGAACACTTCAACAGTACTATTGCACACCTCTACGCGCTTGGAACAGACAACCGGATACGTTATATGGAAGACCTTCCTTTCTAAGACAAGACGATCTCCCATCACGAAGCCACCATCCCACCCTTACATGACCCCCCCCCCCTCCCCCGGAATAAACCCTCATCCGGTGGCGGAACATCTATCTATCCCGCTGGCAATGTATAGTCTTACCTCTCGGACGAAGTCCCCGCCGAGGTTGCTTTGCGAGTCCTTCAGCTTGCCGCTCTTTCTGCCCATGCTGTTCACCGTCCTGGTGACGATGGACTTTAGCCCCTCCAGGTGTGTGCCGCCGTCACCGGTCCTGCCGGCCAAAGACAGAAAAGAAACAGAAACAAGACTAAGGAAAAACAAAACGAGGTTGCGCCAACAGCAACAAGAATTTCTAAGATAAAAACTGAAGGACGAAAAAAAGTAACTGAGGAGACAGTTCCTATTGACACGCACGTAGCTGTCTACCGCTATATTTCGCACCGACAGCACGCAGCGAGCACTTTAAGGGTGCGTCTTCCTTGCGGCTGTTCGAGACCAAAGACCCCGAGAGGGGCCACGCGGCTATCCCCCCCTCGTGATGCTCGACATATGCCCCTGCCCAAACTACATACGACCATAGAGCAAGACATACGCGAATAATAATCGTTCAACCGACAAGGACGACTCAAAATCCGGCAGGACGTATGCACCGCGTCAATCTACAGAGGGTAATGGTCCCTGAAAGGGGGCAAAACGATTTCACCTACGACCGCAGCGCTCTCCAGCTCTGCCTAATAAACCGTCAAGTACGAGCGCAACACCAACAAACCTTGCCGAAAAATCGAAGAGAGAAAGAAGAAGAAAACGGTGTTTCTGTATAGGCAACGTCCAACTTTAGGCTGTTGAATTGCTGCATTGCTTCGTTCACACATACGCATGTGTCTCAAAGTCAGCGAGGTTGTCTTCATTGCGAGGTATGCCAGCCAAGCGGCGCTCAGATCGATCTGTGGAACCGGGGGAGTTACGAGCTCTATCTGCCTTTGTGCGCACATCGAGCTTGTGCAGAACACGTACCAAGACATGGTTTCCTGATGCCATTCTTCATGATCTGCCTGATTCGCAGGTCGAGCTTGTACACATTACACTATCACCGAACTACCTACAATGCCTTCAAGATACGACACCAATACATATTGTTCCGTGTACACATCTTTGCTCTCTCGTACAAACATGCCTGTGCATCACTGAAAAGCTTTCCCTAGCATCGTTCGCGAAGGACGCGCGCAACCCTGTGCACATGCCATCGCTCCACGACAGCTTGTTCCTACATGCGTACCGATCACCGAATCGCTTACCTGATGCCGTTGGCGAAGGACACGAGGGAGTCCGTGTACATGTCGCTGCTCCATGACAGGCACGCCTCCACCTGCACCCCATCGCGCTCTCCCAGGGCACGGATAACCTGTTACACGTGGTCGAGCCAAACGCCACACAGCTAAGAAATGAGGACATTCTGCTACGGCGTGGTCGAACCCAACGTCACACAGCTGAGAAACGCGGATTACCTGCTACCGCGTTATCGAACCTAACGCCACACAGCTAGGAAATGAGAAAAACCTGTTTCTACGTGAACGCACCAGACGTCACACGCACGGATAGCCTGTTGCATGGTTGAACCAAACGTTTCAACTACGAAACGCGGCCTAACCAGTTACTATGTGGTCACACCAAACGTCACACACAAAACAAGCGACACGGCAAAATAATGCCATGACAAGGAGTAGGGAAAAATGCGTAAAGGTGCCCGGAAATCACGCTGTCATTTAAGGGGCATCGTCAATAAAAGGGCCAACCGATACGTCATAAGGCGCTGCTTTCCGGACGAAACCGATGAGGCGCGAATGGCAGTTGGCGTTTGTGTACAACTGTCCCCAAAGGCCATGAGAAGATCACAAAAGCAAAACAAAGATGAGAAAAAGAGCACAAAACTCCTTATCGTGTGATTGCATCAATGCCACAAAAGAGTCGGGGCCAAACGCCGCAAAAAACAGCAGTACAATCAGTGCGGACACAACAAATCTGAATCAACAAGTTCTGACAAGGTGGAGTCAGGTACTGGACATGAGGGGGCTCCGCAAAAAATCGCGAGGGTTTGTGGGGGGGGGGGAGCCCGTGTCCACAACATGTCGTCTTTGGCTTGAAGAGTACGGAGAGAGGATGCACTGCATGCAGTCGTGGCAGACGTTTATTTTGCCAATGCAACAGGCAACAACAAACGGAAGCGACAGAAACGACGATAACGACTGGCGCATCAACACGCCAACACACACGGTGAAACTCGGGTTCATGACAGCTGCAGTCGCCATCAATCCCACCTTCGAACCGGGGCGAAAATACTTCCACTTTGGCCCTCGGCCTTCAATCCGCCCAAAAGGCCTACCGACCACCTGAGGGTACCCCCCCCCCTCAAGACACCTGGCAACCATTTTGCGGGGCCCCTTCAGACTCTCATGGCAGGCGCCAGCCTCTACGTACGCCCCGCCCTTACATCAACAAGCCCACCTTCATGTCCGGGTGAAGGTGCTGTTTATCCTTGCACATGAGCTCGACGAACTCCTGCACGCCCCCCTTGTGGAAGTACGTCTCGGTCTTCTTGAAATTGCCGTCCTCATCGACGCCGCTCCTGAAGATGATAATCCCCCCCACCACACAACACACACGCACGTACGCAGGAGGGGCACACCACAAAAAGTGAATATTGTTGATTTGCTTGAAACACTGACAACGGGCAGGACGTCAAAAAACAGCAACAAACAACAGATGGCAGTGTGGTTCGAACGAGGAGGGGGTCACGGACCTCAAGTGGCGGGAGGAAACAGATTGAGAAGAAAAAAAAATGACGGCTACAGTACATAGGTAAAACACAAATAAATATGAAACCCCTGTGTGACTCCGGTCGATACGCCAAACAAACACCTGGTACTGAAAGGTATAGCCTGGCGCCAGAACAGATGAGACGCACAAATGGAAAATGGTGTACCTACATTTTTCTCCAACTTGCCGTTGCTTTCGAGGGGGGCCAAGAGCGGCCATGTTTGACGGACTGTTGATGTACTGGATATAGTCTACCCGTCTCTTCGTATTCTTGCAGTTTCGGCACCCCCCTCAAATATTCCAAGAGGGGCAACCAGAGGGGGTAGTAAATATGCGACCAAGACAATGGGGATGAAGAGAAACGATGTTATGGCGCAAGCCGCTCATGGAAGAGAACACGGGAGATGATGACCACCACCGCCACCAACAGCAGCAGCAGCAGCAGCAAAAACAAATGGAGAAGGCACAAGACAGAACGGAGCTTGAGATATCACCGTCGAACAACGAGTGGCGCCACCAAGACAACCGAGCGCTAGTCACCGTCGCAACACCATCACTACCATCACCTTGCGTCTGCCATGACGATGCTGACACCCGCGTTGAGGTAGGCCAGCTCGTCCATCCGACCGGAAAGCCGCTCGAACTCGAACTCCGTCGTTGTCTTGAAAATCTGCGGATAGTGTTTGAAATGTAGAAAAAACAAACAAAAAACAGAACACCACGCTGACTCAACCATGGATGTGTGTGTTCGTCCTCATCTATTCTGGCGACACTCTGTACACCTCTCAAGGTAAGTGATGTATCAGTCAGGGTCACACAGGAGCTTGTGTGTGTTTGTCCTCTGGGAGAGTGCAAGCACCTACAGAACCAGCATTCCCAAGGGTAGAGCCCAACCCGCAAGAGTGCCATCAAGCACGTACATGCATGATTTGAACGACGAACGGCAAATCAAGAATAATATCATCACATACAGCAACAAAGAATAAACGACTACCCGTCCGAGACATATTGCTAGTACCACAACCGTCGAAGGGGATGCGAGCCTTTGCAGTCCTTTTCCTGATTGTTTTTCGTGATCTCTTCTTTCCTATCCTAGCCCACTCGCCTCCGGGTCCGGCAGGAACCGAACCGCGGTGCCCCCGGCCTCCTTCGCCCCCGCGTCCGTCGTGAACAGGTCGCCCTGAGTTTTTCCCCTCTTGAAGGAAAGCGAGTGCCGCTTTCCCCCCCGCACTACTTCTACCTCCGCCCACTGGCTCAGGGCGTTCACCACCTGTTAAAGTTTTGTTTGGACAGACGGGGGGGACACAGACAAATGAACGGAGGGGGAGCAATTGGAGGGAGGTAAGACGGGTCGGGACTAGGTCGTGGTTTCTTTCTTGAGAACATTATAAATCAATATTGTTGTCAAGAGGTGGGGTGTAGTTGCGGAGGGAGAAGGACTGGACGAGGCCAAGAGATTCTTTATGGTCTTGAAATAGACCTGTAGACAATGACGCATGCACCTGGGGTGGATCACTCGCTTGGGGCTCAGTACATGCATTCACCAACCATCACGCATATCTCAAAACGGCCCCTGCGGGAACTATGAAATGAGCCATTATTCTTCCCCATAATATTTCTCCCTCAACATAAACAATGTCCGGAAACATCAAAGCTTCAAAACGTCGGCGCTATCTGAGGTGTTATATCGAAAGCCACCCTCTTTTCGAAAACAGCGTTGGGTTCAATCGCAAGGTAGGTAATAGCGCACGAAACCCTTCCCTACCCTCCATGCGACGAGCCGAATCCCTCACGGCGCTTCGCGCTTTGTGATGTGAGAGCCTGGTCCGGTGAAAACCCGGCGTGCTCCGTCTCGGCTTTGTAGGGATGCGAGGTCAATGTTCGAACGACTATGGCATCAAAGGGCCCTCCATGTGGATACCATGGAAGATATCCAGATTACGTGTCAATCTTGGTCGCGGGGGGGGAGGAGGCCTTGTTTGTCCCCGGGGGGGGGGGATTTTAACTAAATTCCCGCTATTCGCAAGCTATTTTCAGCGCGCGCGCGTAGGGATCTCACACAGACCCTGTGGAAATTATTAGGAAAGAAAAATGTCAACACAGAAATATTGAAACACCACAAGGCTAGGTGTCAATCTTGGTCACGATGAGGGGGGTTTCTATTGTATTGCAAAGTATGACCGCACTAAAGCTTATCCAAAAAAGAGGATGTCATGGCTTTCAGATTGTGGAACAAAAGCCGACACAATGAAGAGTATGTATACTTTACGATGGACACACAAATTCCTATACAGTAGCTGCTGCAAGTGAGCCGCGCAATGTGGCTATCGTGCGTGTCAATCTTCATCTTGGCCCGGCAGGGGTGGAGGGGCGGGGCGGGGTCTTCCATGGTTTCCACATGGAGGACCCTTAATGGCATGCAAGGCTATGAGTACCCCCCCCCCCCCCCCGGGCTCACCGAAACGCCGACGCCGTGCAGACCCCCGGAAACCTTGTAACCGCTCTCGTCCCCGCCGAACTTCCCGCCGGCGTGGAGAACGGTCATGACGGTCTCGAGGGCGCTCTTCTTCGTGCGCGGGTGGATGTCGCACGGAATGCCGCGGCCGTTATCCCTGACCGTGCAGCTGCCGTCTTTCTCCAGGGTAACGTATACCTGAAGAAGAAAAATAAGCAAGCAAAACCACGAACAAGAGATTGCACTTGGACTTTCACCAAGTCTGCGGCATCGGTCCGGAGTCGCCTGGACCACTCTGCTGAAAGACTCGTTCCACATTCTTGGCTTGTTAACCTGGGGAAACAAAACATAAATGTGTTGATGAACGTCCATAACTCCCCGCACTCGCCCGCACCCGACCACCATACAACAAGACCGTGACGGGTCAACGCATACCCCGTACACGGGCCCTGCAAAACTTTCGGCGAGATATTCCAAAGCCATCCTCTTCGGAATGTGTGCCTGTACTGGTTGAGGAGTATTCGAGCCAAGCAAGCCTGCCATGACCCTGAGCCGTGCGATAACTAGTTCTGCGTCGCCTCCCGACCTCCCTCCCTCTACTGGCCGCGCCTCAGGGATAGGTAAAATATTATCCCGGCGACGACGGATTCAAAACACAACACGACCGCTACACGGTAGCAACTTCTGCGCCACCCCAATACCCTGTCCCCCTCCTAAGTAACACTTTGGCGATGAGCTACCGCGAGAGGGGCCAGCAACATAGCAGCAGGTAGGTGAACACCCTTCCAGCAAATGACAACGGAGACAAGGGAGGGGGAGGTGTACTCGTAGCTGGGCATGCCGTTTGTAGTCGCTACGCCATATTGACCTCGTCTCCGAGACGGAGCACGCCGGGTTTTCACCTGACCAGGCCATAATAGCACATCACCAAGCGCGAAGCGCCGTGAGGAGTCGCATGGATGGAGGGTGCGCTTCATCCATGGGGCGGGGG